TTTTGTACTGCAGCGAAACACTGCCTCGAGCTCTTTGGTTTAAGACACTTGTTTACTGAGCACCGCCGGAGTGCTCAACACCAGGCGGGGACACCCTCTCAGCCAGGAGCAGAGAAGGGCTCTCCAGTCCAGTGCCAACTCAAGGTTGGGGTCCGGGTCAGACCATAGCTTCATACCTGGTCTCTCCAGCAGCAGACCAGGCTTCTGAGCCCCACTACTTATATATTGCCTTAAATAGGAAACTTAATCTGTTGTATCTCTTACAGTACTTGCTCTACTGTTACTCTGCATATCACCATCTCCTCCATGTGCTTGGGGCTTTTCCCGAAAAGCCCCTTCATGGTCAGGGGGATCTCAAACATCTCCTCTCTGCTATTAGTACCACTGACGAGGAGATGAGGATCGGATGCTTGCTGGGGACCCGCAGGTTGAAGCATGCTTGCCAATATCTTGCCCCGTGCCGCAGGTTTCTTGGTGAGAAGCGGGCACTGGAAGACACTCGTCTGCTTCCCGACACCCAAGCAAGCATCCTCCTCCCTCTGCCCCGTGCAGTTTCCAAAGGGGCAAACTCCTACAGGGCCACAGAACTGTCTGTTTCTCTAACCCCTATAAACTGTCTGACCAAAAAAATATTGCCTCTCCTCACAAGGCTCACCACACCTAGAAATATTTAACTGCTGTTCCCAATGTTCACCTACTTCCATGAAGGAGACCAGGCACTTTCCCTCCCTCTCCCTTTCCTTCTGCAGGAAAAAAGGAATCTAAAATTCCAACTGAGGAAAAGACACAGACAGAATCTTCTTTAATTTAGATCAAAAATATGACATGCATCAGCCAGGTTTGAACTGGGCAGGTTAGCAGGAATGTGCTTAATGCCAAGTGGAAACAGTAACAGGATTTACAAAGAAAAGGGCAGGGAGAGGGCAATAAAGTCAAAATGGCACAGAAAATAGAAGAGTGTTCCCCAAAGGCACAATATAAAGCAGCAAGGTTGGGTAATCCGGTTCACTCCAAAAGACCCTTTCCTAGAAAACAATTACGAAGCATTTATGAAATAAAACAGAAATTCTCCTTCTTCATGAAAGGGAATTAAACAGGTATAGACACTATTCCCTTCCCTATGATCCACAATTAAGTTTCATAATTCAGCTGTAATTTTATTGCTTCTAGTAATAGCCTTAAACCTAAAAGAGTACTCTTCCTCTTGAAAATAACTGTCAATAGTGGCCAAGCCAGCAGCAACTCTTCTTGATTGATTACCAGCACAGTTAAGTTCAGACAACCTGAACTCAGCCTCCCAGCAATGCCCTTAAAACAACCAGAAACTGAGATGCCCTCAGCCTCCTGTATGTAAGGCAGACCCCTTGCAAGGTCCACACTCCTGTGCTCCCACTCCCCCTCCAACACCCAAGGGATGTAAGCCTGGGTGTGTCAAGGACAAAAAAGTTGCAGTGAAGATACTGAACCTATGCCTGATGGTCCCTGGGGACTGCCAGTCCTAAAAGACTGCCCTAATCTGAGGGTACTAGAAAAGGAAAGGTTACTTGGAATCATTTTTCTCATCCAGATTAAACCACTCCATCTTTCTTTTTTTTTGGTAAACTGAAAAACTATGGGAAGAGTCTCCTTTTTTTTTTTTTTCAAGCAGCTCTAACAAGGTATTTGGCTTTATATTTAATATTGATGATCTCCGTAAGTTGAATAATCCAGTTTTCAGACGGAAAATACCCTTTACGAAGGTGCAATCAACAAGAAAATCAGCTTCTCTCTCTCCCTCCTCCCTATCTCTCCTTCCTCTTTCTTCAAACCCACCAACAAATAAACATCTAAGCATAGCACCTCTGTTGGGTCCTCAGTTTCCTCTAGCAGCGAACTGCTTGTGGACCAGGCGATCTGAACATCTGACCAGTTTGGGTGAGTGAGCAGCTCCTGACGTGGTTGTCACACAGGCACTTATTACAAGTGAGGATTACCAAAAGGTTCATGCTTTCTTGTTTCTTTTGTTGAACTTTAAATGATGTGGTTAACAAGTCCTGACCTGTGCAACTGCACTAAATTCCTGAATTATTTGCAATGCTCCCTAAACAATCCAGGCTCTCTCTTTATCCAATTGGTTTTGTACCTTATAAAGAGAATGCAAACACTTTTTCCAAATACCAAAACTCCTATGAATAAATTATTCTTCTATCTTTCCATCAACCCATATGTTTCTAAATCCTCATAAAAATGAATGAGGTCCAAAAACACCAGATGGTGCAATAATCTTCTCCAGCAACGTGTCACTCAGAAGTAATTTTTTTCCAGTAAAAATAGCCCAGCAGCTCTGGAAACTGACAGAATCTCACAAGCATGAGGTCCTAACTAGTGACAGATGATAGCACCCACACCTTTCACAAAACCAATACTGTTAAGAACATCCTGACACTGTCAAGTGTCAAGACACCCTCAGACCCTCGGGGCAAGGAGTTGCAGGGACAGCAGGTAGGGAAAGAAGGTCTCGTCCTCTTTCTAAATCCTCATCAATTCCCTGTTTCTCAACCATTTTGATCTTCTGCAGTGTGGGGAAGAAACAGAGTGCTGGGACAACCCTTTATCACCTCACGGTGGAAGATGAAGAACCTTCTCCTCCTCTTCTCCCCTATGCTGAGATCTGAAGCCCTCCTGCCCCAGTCCATCCCCCTCTCCCTCCCTCTCCTTCCCCTGCGTGCAGAGGGCTCCCTCAGCCACATGCAATCCTGGGCTGAGCTTGGCCTCTTGCCTTTGGGGACAAAAACACAGGGGTGGGAATGGCACAAGGAAGCAACACGAGTCAGTGCTTCTCAGAGTCAGGTGAAAGGAGAATATGGCTGTAAGAAGAATCAAAACTGTATTTTGAGAAAGGAGCGAGAAAGGATACAGGAGCCAAAGAAAAATTCTACAAACTGCTTAGAGGATACCAAAATAGATGTTAGGCCCAGCCCAAGCCCGGACCTCAGAGAGAGACAAAGGCAATGACTGACCTCCCCTGGGCTGAAGGAGAAGCTGCCTGAAAAGCTTTCAGGAGCCCCCCACTCAACAAGGACGGCCAGTAAGCACTGCCCAGGCAGGACTGCACTGAGAGCTCCTCGCTGTCCACGAGCAACACTACCAGGCCCCAGGAATTTAGATCAGTTTTTGTTTTATTCAGAAACATGGGGAAAAATCCCAGGCTTATTTAAGAGCAATGACTGGGGTACAAAGGTAGATGTCACCTCTTCAGTGCAACAGTGCCCATGAGGCAACCACTAATGCAGCATGCTCAAGACATGCTCATCTAACATTTCAAACGTTCACAAAGACTTTGCATAGTGACAGGAGCACAGGTTCCTGCTTTTCTGCTGTATTCAAATTTCATTTATGTGTAATATTTAAATCTGAAAAGTGAACGAAGTATGAAAAAGACACAGAAACAATAAAATACAAGTCCTATGGAACTCTCACAGGGCAACATACTCTCTTCTATATAAATGTTGCAGTACACCTGAAAAATTAACAATGAGCATAACTAAAAAATGAAGTAATTCTGCTATTTGGATAGCAACTGCCCTGACAGAGCTTAATCTGGTACCAGCTGAGCTGATCTCTGACCCTCTGGACCCACAACACAGCCAGCACAAACCTCCCCATGTTTCAAGCAAGCAGGTACCCTGCTGGCTTTGCCTCAGCATCTCAGTACTGTTGGTATCCTGCTGATGCTTCTGGGTTGGGCTTCAACCAGTTTTGATGAAAAGCTTAGCCAAGTCTGTGAACAAAACTACAGCTGATTTCTTCAGGCTTTAAATCAAGGTCTTCATTGCCAAGATCCAGCAGCCATTCCAGCAGTTGAGTTATGTGAACAAATATTTACTACGCACCAAAATGAAACAAGTAAGAGCTTTTTTTTTTTTTTTTTTTCTCTCCTGTCTAGCCAATATTTGAATGATACTTGGTATTTGTTTTTACATCTCTTGAAAGAGCTGTTTACAACAGACAGACGAAAAACATCCTTCTCCTGAGCAAGGCAATAGCAGACTTCAAGCTATCTGTCATTAAGAATTAGAAAAATTTAAGACAGGAAAAAAGCCCTCACCCAAAGAAATTTGCTAAGTGCTGTGTTTTTACTTCCCAAAAGCTTGCCTGAGTGTCTCTTTCAGTTTGGCTCATATGGAAACTGCCTGTCCTCCAATTTTTAGCAATTTAAAGTACTAAAAGAAAAACAGCCAAAAATACCAAATTTTCAATGAAAAACATGTGAAGCCATCAAGTTTAACACTATTTCCAACCTCAGCTGTAAATCAGCTGGGTCTGCAAAAAAAATTATACACTTCACCAAAACCCAACTAGTTTTCTGTTTGCAATGAAACCAGGAAAATTTCACCCGATTTTGTTACAAAATTTTTCAATGGCATACCCTAATGTAAAGTTTCGTGTATATTTTCATCCCACTTCCTCTACAATAAAAAAAAGCCACAAAACTTGTTTAATGATATTCTCCCCAAAGAATGAGCACAGTCATAAATAAAGCATAAACACTGACAGAACCGTGATAAAAATTATGTTTATTCTATACATCAGAATGCCTACAGTAACACATTCTTCTGTTTTATGACTGTCTGCTTTTTGTCTGCGTAATTGAAATATCTCACTTGGTTGGAATCATGGCAGCAATACTTCACTGCTGCAATTCTTGCTTTTTTTAAACAGACAGCTCTTTAATCTTGCAAAGACAGAGTCTATTTATAAATAAAGAACTGTATTCACAGTGAGTCAAGGCAGAAAAGGCTTCTGGAGAGATTGAGTTACAATAACCATTATTATGCTTTTTAAACCTCTGGGCACAAACCAAATCTCGGATTACCCTTCTCATACTTGAACAATTTTTCATCTTAACCACAAAATAAAGCGCAAGGGTTGAGAACCTGGGATAAAACGGTGAGGTACTATGCTCTGAACTGTGCACCAAACCACTACTAAAAGCTTTCCAACTTGAAATAAAACCTTACCACCTTCTGAGGAGCTTCCAAGGATGTTCCAGGTCGATGGCAATTCTTCATGAGCAACAGCCATCATCAAATCATTATCCAGGGACTGCAGATCTTTTATCCTTAGCCCAAACTTATCCAGCAACATCTTGTGACTAGTGGCAGTGACACATTTTGCGTGATCAACCAGAAAGCGAGACAACTTGCAAGACAGATTCTCTCTGTAAGTGACAGGACAGCTGCCGAGGACCACAGGCGAGTATCCCCTTGTGTACATTAACACAGAGACAGAAACTGTTTCTTGGCATCCATGGCCTATAATTATAATGTAAATTAATCACTAGCATTACCTATGTTCAGAAAATACATTAGTTTTTCCTCATTCCCCTCCCCCCGCATCTAAAAGCTGTGACTACTCATCCAGAATTATTTCATTCTTCCCTCTAACAACATCTATTTGTCATAGTGCATCCACCAACCATTTCTGGTGATGAACTTGGATTCAGCCAGACTGTGAACTGCTAGTCCTTCCAATTATACTAACACAATTAATTCAAGAACCAGTCTTTCTAGGTCAAGGTTCTTTAACCACAATGGAAAGAAGAGGTATAGCCACATCAGGATGAAATCCCACAAATCAAAAGCCTGAAGGTTCTTGGATAAGAACTAAGAAAAATGAGATGCTTATGAAAAGAGTGGCAGAGTGGCCTGCAACACAAACTCTTAGTAATATACCTATGTATTAACACCCATTTTGTACTTACCCATTGTCTCCATGTAGGCCAAAACCCAGAAGCTTTTAACTAATGCATGCTTCATGCTTTTGGCAGACTTGATTAAACGCTGTACCAACTCTCTAACTTACAGCTGGGACCCTCAAAGTCCAAGGGAGTTTGTCTCTCAAACTTCTTAAGTACCTTGTGCATTCCTCCTCCTCCTCCTCCTTTGCCATCTAAGTGAGGGTGGATGTCATACATCTAAAACAGGTATAAGCTGTCCCTCTCACTGGAGAGCTAACCATGACGTACTATGGATGCAAATCTAAATTTTCCAAAATATCGCTTAAGAACTACAAGTATATATGCAGTCTAGTAACTGCAGAAGAAAGCACGTACCTACCACATCTCTAGTTGTTTTTAAAGTGCTCTGCATTCCCTCATGTTTAATTTGGCCACTACGAAACAACACTAACATCAGCAGGGCTATATTTTAACCTCACACTTCATTTTCATTTGCTCATGGCTTCTGTTAGGAACAGGCAGAGGATTAAATGTGGCCTGTAGCCTCCTGTTTTTATTCCTAGCCCAGAAGCAATCATTTAACAGTGTCATTTCAGGCCTCAAAACTGCATTTTCTCCAGTTGTAATCCACCACAATCATTTACCATTTACAGGATCAAAGGAGTCACCATGTAACAGCAGCGAACTTTCCCTTTTTATACTCAGCAGCTATTTTCAGACTTTAAATCCCCTTCAGAAAACAAGCACAAATAACAAGCAGATCCTATTGCACAGGTACATCGTGTCTATAGCCACCTACTCACACAAATGAAAAGGTCACAAAGCACACAATAAAGGTGACAACCAGGGTTTATATTACATCCACGAGGGCGACAACGCCAAGGCAGAGAGCCGGCTGGGAGGCAACGCAAATCCCCCGTCTGCAGCGAGGCACCCCTTGAACCCCTGACACTTCTGCACTGTGCGCTTCTCCAGCAGAGCTCCAAGCATCACACATCTCCACCACGAGGGCCTGGCATGCCACGCTGGCTGCTGCACCCAGGGAAAGCTCAGACAAAAAACATGACTTCTGCAGGTGTTACGACGCCTGGAGGCAAACAGTTGTGGCATAGAATTCATTCACATTAAAAATTATGCCATCCCTGAAGACTGCACTTTAATGCACACCCAACTATGCAAGCCCAGTAACGCTGTCTACGCCTGATACTGTGCTGCAGTGGATTGCTACAGGATCACCTGTGGTCAGTCAAACTCAGCCTGGATCCTAAAGGCCACCATTCAATTCCTGCTTTTCCACCATTACAGAGACATAAAACAGAGTTGTACCAAAACGTCCAGTTGAGCCCAGCTTTGAAATGGGGGTGGGGTATAGCAAAGAGATGACAAATGTAAACAGGAGTTAACGCTCACCTGGAACAAGGGACTGAAGAGCATTGTCACTAACTCGCGCAGCAAACATTATGTGCCTCTTCAGGGATCCATCATAAACAAAGTAAAACTCGGCGTCCTCTGGGAGGTAAATGTCTTTGTCAAATTTTGCATTTATAGTCACCTGTCCCTGAAAAATTAAGGTGCTTTCAGAAACATCCAGTAAGTTTCTCATCTCCAACAAACCCACTGATACTTACTTCAGATGCAAGTTTATTATAACCTTTTCAACTCTACTATACAGAGGCTATGATGCAATGACAAATCTGCAGTTTTCTACTTCCACTTAGAAAATAACACTGGTTTTATGCCTGCACAAGCAAAGGTGATTTTAAAAACTGCCTTTTAAATACTGTCTTTCAGCGAATTCCTTTCATTCTGAGCCACACAAATATAACTGACTTTTTGTTTAAAATGCTTCAGAACAAGCAAGTCGGTGAACCTGAGTATTTTGCTATTTACAAAAGCATGCTTTGTGTTAGAAAAATTTAAAAATTCAAAAGTGATTGAAATTATCTTAGACTCGGTTTACAAAACAAAAGCACTGATGTAATTCTACAACTGCCTATGCTGGTAATACTAGTTCTCAGATATCTGATCATGGATTTCTTTATAGTAAATAGAAAGCAACTAGCCAAGAAAAATCGGTCATACAATAGCTTCAAAGAACAACAGGAAAGGGATCTGAGAAGCAGCAAACAATAACAAATGTCTGACATGTCTGAGGGAGGAAATTTCGATGAAGTTGCATTTCCTCAAAGAGGAGGACAGTGTGCTCCACCACAGTCCCTGGCTGCCAGAGTTGTTCTAAATAAGACAGAATTGCCCCAGTATCTGGCAGAAATGGTGTTTTCTGGAAAACACGCTGCAGAAGAATATCTCAGCCATTCGTGCTTCCAAACGATGCCTGCTCTGCCTCTATTCAAAACAGTTACCACAGCACTAACTCCACCGGCTCCGTAAACAACTCTGGTAAAAACCTGCACCAAAGCACAACACGGTAGCACAGAAATTTCCGTGGTTGAAAACCACAGTTATGTCCCTGACTGTCCTGACAAGCACCTGGCTCTTTCCCCTGTTCATTATATGGCAAACATACACTTTACTGCAGTGAGACTCTTGCCGCACCCCACAACTTCACATCGTCGCCTGCCTTCCCCAAGGACATCTTTCTCATCACTCATAACAATGCAAATCCTGCATTTGTTTTCTTCTTAAATACAGATGTTCTACTGAACTAGGGGTGAAGAGGCAAAGGCTAGTTTCAGGCACAAAATCTTCCTTAGATAGGATTGTTCCTCTAAGGATAGGTGTAAACAACATTAGGAGTCCAGTATCGGAAGCAAGCATGCCTGTCATCCCCAGAAACTGATAACGCACCTCTTTTTAGTAGCCTGAAGTGATAACGGCCAAGAGTTTTCTCCTGTTTCTCTTTGTGCTGTGCACGGTTACACCCCAAATTTATTATTATTGTTATTGTTGTTATTAATCTCCTTTTTTAAAAATCTTTTTATGTTAGTTGTGAATAGCCCTTTTTGTCTGTTGAGTAATACTATGGATGGCTATTTTGTAGAGATAGGAACAGGATAAATCCCTGAAGACACTCCACAGACTGCGCCAGTAGGTGCTTAGCTAACAGCAGCCTGGTGCACAGGAGCACAGCAGAATTTCTTCCACATGGGCACTTGTGGCCACAACTCTCAAACCACCTGTATAGCCTCTGGACCCCTAAGGCTGAGGGACTACATAGCTAGCCAGCTTTCATGGGGTTTTTTTGCACTAACTACGTGAAACAAGGGAGATATTTTCTACCAACATTTTCATTTCAAAGGCCTACTCTTGGGGAATAAAAGAAAAAAAAAAATCAAGCTCAAATTGTAGCCATTGGCTTATACTGCTCCTCTTTTAAAAAATGTTAATTTAGACTCAGTAAGGACAGAGGAATATCTTAAACTGATCACACTGCATAATGTGCAGGCACGGGGGAGAATTTCACAACTCCTTGTCTTATAATGGGTGAAGGAAAAAAGCAAGAGGGGAAAAGATGGAGCGGAAAGCTCATGTGTATATGATAAGAGCAGGTTTTTCAGAACCCACTCCTTACAACCCTCCAGAATAAGAAATTGCTGGTAACTTAAGCAAAGATTTTACAGAAGGAAGGCAAAATGGCAGCTCGCTTATATCTGGATAAACAATTAAGTGATTCATTTGGAAAATCCCACGTGATCCAGAAAGAGGGTTAAATGCTATATTACTAGAGAGGAATCAAAGACAACAGAGTAAGTAACTTTCACAGGGGAATATTAAGCTACACTTTTGACGCTGGATGGTTACCACACTTGGCATGAGAAGCACATGTCCTTTCACAAAGGACAAGCCCCTATCATCACCTCTAGCACTTCCCATTTGCCCTCGCAACCATCCTGTCTTCAGATGTTCTCGCTTCATGTTGCTCAATTCCGTCATCATCTTCCTTGCTGCCACTACTAAAACATGCATCAGTTTGCTGTTCAGGCCACCACAAATGCCTTTTGCTCTAGCTTCAAAGCATCTTTTCTCTTCTCACCTACTCCTCTTCAAAATACCCTTGCTGCACTTATGTCATCTCCCCTTCTCACCACCTGAAAATCTTTTACAATTGCATCCTACTGCTGCTGGAGTTCACCCTTCCACTTCCATCCCTTCCAGTCCCTCCACTGCTTTGCACAGCACTTGTCCCATGCGGCCATGCCCCGTGCCAGCCGCACTGCTGCCTGCCCTCTCACACAACGACTCCTCTTCCACCGCACATTAGCCCTTCTGCCCCCCTCATCCTCTCCTCGGAGCTACAGCCTTCACCCTGGCTTCAGACCTACACATGGCAGAGCCTATCTTAGCCCGTGTTTCGGAAGGCATGCTTACTGTACTTCAGAGACATTGTGATACCAACCTGCATGGAAACTTTGATCTTTATCAGGTAAGATATGCTAGCCACCCTTTGGAAAAGACATGAAAAAAATAAAATCATTTGTGCTAAAGGGAACACCATGGCTGTTCAAAATGTATCTAATACTACATTTAAACCCGATTATTTAAGTACCTCTTCCTTCAGCACAGTGTTCCCTTAGCACAGAATTACATCTGTTTAATGCCAGGTTTGAATGTAAAGCAGCACTTCCAATAAAAGCGTTAGGGATCTATAGGCTGCTAAAGAAATGGCGTTCATAGGACAGAGTGAAACTAGAAAGAAGAACCTTATACTATGTTTCATCAATTCCTTTCCTACATTTGCAAAATCTTTTTTTTACATTTTAATATAGTTATCGTACAGTTAATTATTAGACAATATGTTGCATATGTAGCACACATACAATCTACATCCTTATATAAATATATATATGCACTAATAAAAAAAAGATACTGTAATGCAGCTAGACAATATCACAAACAAATGTGACTGATGGAGATGGCTGCACCCACAATCCCTTTGCACTGCTGGCACAAATGTATGTATTTGGCAGACCAGTCTTTCCCACTCTTATGACCACTTGCACTTCCCTCCAAACACTGCTGGCAGAGGCTTGTTCATTACACACATGAAAACAAAAATACCACCGAACTCTGAGGATGCTTTTATTGTTGCCACAAGAGGTGTCCCTGTGTATGTCTATGCACTCATCAAGGGAGCTTTCCCATTCCTTTTCACAGCTGTGAAGCAAGCTGCAGCGAGATAGCACTGTAATTACCACACTGTTCATTTCCTCTGTGTGAAGCCAACTTTGTTATCGGAACTATTTGATTTTTTTTTTCTTCAAACAAAGATCACCTTGCAGTCCATTCTAGAAAACTTCTAGGTAGAAAAATACTTGGGGAAAGTGATGCATGTTGTGAGCCTCTTCCAGACTCTGCAGCTGGAAAAGGCAGAAGGATTCACCCAACTTCCAAGCCGGACCAAAATGCAGCCTTTCAGGGTGGAGGAGAGGAAGAGGAGATGAGAGAAAAGTCTGCCAGCTTATTTAGTTCTTTGCAGAGTTCTTTGCACTCTGTTGTTGGATGTATGACCTTGCCTTTAGCTGCATTTAAATGCAGATCACTCAAGGGCATTGACTTTACCATGCTATCAGCGCTGCACACACGTAATTCACCATTTTACTGAGAGCTGCCAACCTTACTAGCAATGACTGTACACTTCTTCCACAACTTTGATCAAGACATTGAAGAGCTTTGGGCCAAAAATTTCTCCCAAGGATGATACACCCCAGCATTTGTCACATGAAGGTCTGGGGAAAAGACTGATGCAGAGAACCTTATTAGAAGCAAAACCAAAAAAAAATTAGGGCCTCCCAGGCCATATAAGAACAGCCTGGAAAGATTAATATACGAAGTGTTGAAAAATACATACCTTGCAAATAAAACAAAATTTCAGTGCCACAACTACTTTGGTCAAACACTGGAACAGGCTTCCTAGAAAGGTGGTCAATGCCCCAAGCCTGCCAGTGTTTAAGAGGCATTGGGACAATGCCCTTAATAACATGCTTTAACTTTTGGTCAGCCCTGAAGTGGTTGGGCAGTTGGACTAGATGATCGTTGTAGGTCCCTTCCGACTGAAATATTCTGTGCTATTCTACTTTGGATTACTATGTGTGGTAGCAATTGTTAAAGCTCAGTGTTAGAGAAGTGCAACAGAGCTTCAGAAATATGCACAAACTTGATCTCTATCAGCTTCTTTGCACACACAAAATAAGCTCACGTAGGCAGAAACCCAGAAGCCGTACATTAGCCCTTTAAGAAAAGGGTTTATTTTATTAGCTTAAATCTGAGGGATAATTTATATTTTTCCATTATACCCATTCCCTGCAGAGGCATTTATTTCCTGGCTCCCTCAGGCAAGCCCAGCCCAGCCCAGGGAGCAGGTTGCAGCAGGAACTACCTGAACAGATCTTTCCTCTGCAAACAAATGAACTTGGAGAGCGACAGAAGTGCCAACAATTCCAGCTCCATCCTCTTCTTCCTTTCCTAGCAAGACACACAGGAAGGAAAGAATTGGGCTGGATCTTGCAATGAGCCTCAGTAATGTATTCCTCCACCAAAGCAATGCCCCTCTGCTTCACAAGGCCTTCCCAGAGATTTTGGGGATATGCTACCTCTTTTGTAACAGAGCCTCTTCTTGGCAGAGTCCAAGTGCTCAATCCAGTCTCTCAGTCAAAACATATATCCACTAGACTACCACAACAATTAAATAGTGTAGGTAAACAACAGTGAAACACATTTCCAGGAGTTCCATAAGAAATTCATACTCATAAAAAACATTTTTTCAGCATCACCCTCACCACATCTGAGAAAAGCACCTCTCCACTGCTCCCCACCCCATTCTGCAAGGCACAACCAAAGCACCTTCTCAAATCTGCAAAAAACCTCTGACGCTGGTCTATCACTAAAGCATGAAGAGACTACAATTACAGTTATCAGCATTTAAAAGTAGGTAATTAAGCCATAATTCACATATCAGTACAAAAGAGCAAAAACAACAGAAATAATTTATGATATATGCACTACCTGAAATGGGGACATCGTGCTCCTACAGAGCAATGTTTGTTCTGAGCTCATTCCAGACACTGAAGCCGGAAACACATCCCAACTGGCTTATTTCTTCTGCATTTCTAAATACAGAACCAATTTAGGCTTAACACTTATCCTCTAGGTACCAAAACCCAAACTGGATAAGTCACACAGGTGCCTCATCTTTGGAAAACCAGCCAAGTGGCCTGAATACAGGGCAGCTGTGAGAGGACTTTGCTGGGCCAGATTCCTGACAATCCACGAGTTGCTAGGTGTCTTTGACACTATTTTCACAAGTTCATTTGTCTAATGACAGTTCAACCTCTCTCCCACTCCTTCCTCTCCCTAACAAGCTTACTTATATCCTCATGAACTTGGAAAAACGTAACAAGGATTTACAGGTTTAATTCTATGTGTAGGTATGCTGAAGCATGCTTCTCAGGGTCCCTGTGGACCACAGATAGTTCAATCCCCATTCATTCAAAGCATGGGGAAGGATGTGCCACTTCACTGTCTTGGCAAATCAACACAGCCCCTGGTCACAGCTGGTTTCTCAGGTAGATGCTGGGGAAGGTCCTTGCCCTCAAGCTCACAGTGTTGATTCTGATGGACTTGGAGTGGAAGCAAATTTTAAGTCAAAGGACACTTATTGATACCAGCCAGCCATTATCTTACTTAGACTTAGACCTGAGTGGCTCAAAACAAGTGCTCAACTCTATCGAACCACCACAGGGACACATGGGAAGTGGAGATCCCTCAAACACCATCCAGACCTGTAACAGCAGAGAACTTCAGGCAGCCATATGAGCACCTTCAACTGCAGAAAGATACCAGAAATTGTACAGATGAGCATGGGAGAAACCCTCAGTCCATCGAAGCCAGGAGGAGTTTTGCCACTGATTTAATGACAGCCAGGATTATCACCGCAATCCTTGAAATAAAAAACAAAAGAGCATGCAGGAAGACTCGGGAGAGAAGGCTGCAGCTACAGGGGCTTTAAGAAAGACACCAATCTTAAACTCATTAAACCTGTGGCTGAACAAGTGCTTGGCAGCTTTGACCTCTCTGGGATCCATAAAGGAAAGCATAGCTTTTACTACCAGTGAAAACACTGCCCTGGCTCCGGCACCGAGAAGGACATTAGGAAGGTTTGTGTTTTTAACAGGATTTATAGGTCTACGCACTCCTTCAGTGTAACCAAACAGGTTTTTCAGATGTATGTTTTCCTTTGGTTTCTCTAGGGTGCTTGAGAGCTGACCAGGTCGGGCACGCAGCAGCAGGGTCCCCTGAGCCCCACATCCCGGGTAGGGAGCAGCAAAGACCAGACTCCCCACAGCCTCAGGAGAAGAGCTCCCACCTCCAGCCACGGTCTGACCCCCTTCTGCATGCCAGCGAGGGACTGGGGCGGGCTCCCCACCAGGAGAAGAGGGGAAGGGAGGTAGCAAACCCCCACAGCTGAGGCACAGCGGCATCCAGGCAGGCAGGACAGGCTGAAGGAGCGACCATGGCACTTCCAGTGTGCCTGATGCCTACTCTGCTGCAAGTCGCCCTGAGCCCTAATAAACAATTGGCCCTCAACCTGAACCGAGCTTCTTCCACTTTGGATTCCTTTAGGTAACACCATCTATTTCACCAGCAACCTGCCCCAGCAAAACAGCTGCAACATAAAAAGACCTTTACTGGGGTTCCAGATCCAGGCCATTGCGCTGGCTAACACTCAAAACTTCAACGACTGGTCCCTATCCTTGCATACACAGCCTGGATAAATCTATTTTCCCAACAGCCTTTTACCATAAAAATAATGCATTCTAAAGTATACTAAAAATGTCTTTACCAAACTGTATAAACAACACAATAGCTTGAGAAAGAATGTTTTATCCAGCGTTTCCAAAGATATTATCTGTAAATATAATGGTACAAACAGACAT